ATTGTTTAGGATGGGTATAGGTAAACTACGCAGAAGAGTCTTGAGAACTTTGATGGAGGGGTGACCAAGTTTTTGATGCCATGCAAGGATAGTGTTGGATGATGTCTTAATAGAGTTTAGTTGAGGAAGTCGTTTGAGTGATTGAATGGCAGCATAATAGACATCATTGACGTTCGCTCCCCGCATTAGACACGCCTTCGTGCGGAGATCCTTAACCAAAAAATAAGAGGCAAATAATTCAACAGAAACACGGTTAGCTCAACAAAGTTTAGCAACAGATACTAGATGATTTTTTAGTTTGGGAACAAAGAGAACATTATTGAGATTTAAAGGATGTGTGTGAGTTGAAATGATTGTATGGCCAGTGTGAGATATTGGTAGAGTGTTACCGTTTCCTAAAACAATTTCATCGGGTCCTTCGTATTCTGAAAGGGTGTGAAACGAAGCAGGGTTGACGCAACATGATGAGATGCTCCACTATCAAACATCCATGGAGGTGTGGAGGCTGTAGACGTGGCAGTAGTGGTGTTGACTGTTGGAGAAGAGCCTGTTGTAGATAGGGTGACATTGTTTTCTTTCAAGAAACGGGCGAATTTTCCGCAATCTTTGGTTTCATAACCAATGATATTACAAAATTGACCGTAAGATGAGATACAATTGCTGCGTTGAGGACCGTTGATGCTTTGAGAGCGATTATAACGAGAACCAGATTTGGGAAATCTGTTTGGTGATCGATTGTCATGGCGAGAGTCATAGGGATTTTTGGACGTATACCTTTGTTGTCTTTGCGTGTTGTTGACAGTGGTAACACCTGGAGTGGTTGGTTTTTCCTTGAGTGTACGTTCGTGATCTATAAGTTTATCGAAAAGATCTGGAAACATGATTGTGGTATCCCTAATTTTTAATGCAGCGGAGATATAGACATAGTCTTCTCCAAGTTGGGCCAAGATGTGGACTATTAGATCTTCCTCCTCCACTGGTCTTTGGTCCAGGGCTAATTCATCAACAATTGTCTTCATTTCATGAAGGAATTCGGCTACAAGACGAGACCCTCTAGGGTTGTTGGCGAGTCTGGATTTGAGCGAAATAATGCATGACCTGGAGACACTAGCATAGCTATCAGTAAGTCGCTTGAACACTTGACGGGAGGTTTCAGCCGATGACACAATTAGTTGGATTGTATCGGAACAGCTACCAAGCAGGGCTCCAAGAATGATTTGATCTTGACGGTACCAAGGCCTGTACTCTGGATTAGCTTTGGTAGCATCAGTGGCTAGGGTTTTTGGTGGGGCTTATGTAGATCCATCGACATAATGGTCAAGACCCAAGCCGACCAGGGTAGCCATGACCTGTTTTCTCCATACAGGGAAATTGGTAGCGGTAAGTTTGATAGGATAGTGAGTGTGAGATGTAACTTCAATTACAGAGGCCATGATTAGGGTTAAGACTTGGATCGAGTGAGGCTCAGAGGAGCTAGAGATGCTCTGATACCATATAAAGTTATATTGATGTGCAGTAAAAGTTATTTGTATTCATAAACATACACGCCATTTATAGGCATATTACAAGGTTGTGAAGATCCACTTTTACAGGAGTAAGTATAGGAACTAATCTAGACTAAGTAATTACATGTGATAATAAAGATACATTGAGTTAAGATGGCCTAATTGACTCGGTGGGTCCATTATCCTTGATAGTTATTCACAATTATTTATGATTAATCATAATTATTCATGAAGTCATTGAGGTTAGAGACGTAGGTGTTCTTTTTGGGTCTAATGTTTTTTAATATTTATTTATAACTCACGAATAGTATTTCTATAATGTTTTTTGTTTAAAATAAAGATATATCTCTAACATGGTTTTTGTAAAAACAATCAACTTTAAATATAACGATACTTTTAAAGCAATTTAATGAAATCACACTAATTTTATTTATTTATTTTTATTTTCTAATAGACAATAGATCCATACGATAAAAACCATCGATTATTTATCAAATTCAAGTTCAAATTTGAAAAATAAGTTTGTTGGAGCTCAAGTTGAGTTTCAAGATTCAAGTGAAATCGATAATATACGATGAAATTAAGATATTATCACCTCTTCCGATAAACTATCTTTTAAAATTCTTCCTCAGAGAACCAAGACAATATTAGAATCCATGGATACCACGCGACAATACAAAGATGTTAGTGAAACTCCAAAAAGTTGAAGCATGGAGTCGAATACTTTTAATTTCAACCAAAAAACACCGATATTTTTTATTCAAAACAATAATACAAATGATATTTAGTGAGGTGTTTTGAAACTAATATACTAAAAAACTAATCATTGTGGTAGAAATACTTTTAATTTCAACCAAAAAACACCGATATTTTTTATTCAAAACAATAATACAAATGATATTTAGTGAGGTGTTTTGAAACTAATATACTAAAAAACTAATCATTGTGGTAGAAATAAAACTATTCACCAAAATAAGACAAACATCGGGTGAAAAGAAACTGAATATTATTAAAAGCTAATCGTTGAAATGAAACTATTTACCGATTGTTATGATTTTTCTAATATGACATGGTTCTTATTAGAAAAACTAAAGTTTAAGTTTCATATTCTAGCAAAATAGAATGGAAATGAAAAAAACCCAGAAAATGAGTTTTAGGACCCGAAAAACAACTCATAAAAAAAAAATTGGTTGAATATTACAAACCTGCAGTCCATCAAACTGGTCAAAAATTTAAAACAAATTAACATGTTACGTTTATTTGTAGTTAACATTCTAAGTGATTAATTGCAATTTGCAAGGATCACATATGATTTATCAACGTTTGAGAATTGGAAGAACAAAAGAACTATCAATATTTTATAAGTTGGTTAATATTTAATGAGTTTTATGGTTACATTTGATTGCGTCAAGAAAACTATTCATCAAAATGAATTAATCAATGTCTGGAAATTATTCGCTACCGCCGCATTGCGCAGGTAAACAATTAATATATATATATATATATATATATATATATATATATATATATATATATATATATATATATATATATATATATATATATATATATATATACCAATCGAAATTCGCAGGGCCAAGATTTGGCGATGCCCTGAATGATCGTCCAGTTTACCGTGCCCCTATGGCCGGCCCTGAATAGTTTTATATATATATATATATATATATATATATATATATATATATACAGGATATAGATCCGGTAAGAAATTTTTTTTTGTAGGAAGGTAAAAAGTTTTTTTTCTACATATTTTTTTGACGAACAAAATAAATGAATCACTAGATGATTCATTTGTAAGATGATTCACAAGAAAAAATTCCCAAAAAAACATCTTTATGATTCATTTTTAAGTAAATGAAGAAAAAATTCATTTTTATGACAATTTTAGTGAATAACAACAAAATCATTGTATAAATGAATCATCGAGATGTTTTTTTGAGAATTTTTTCTTGTGAATCATCTTACAAATGAATCATCTAATGATTCATTTTGTTTGTTCGCGAAAAAAATATGTAGAAAAAAAACTTATTACCTTCCTACCAAAAATTTCCTTCTTTTATATATATATATATATATATATATATATATATATATATATATATATATATATATATATATATATATATATATATATATATATATATATACACACACACACCAATCGAAATTCACAGGGCCTAAAATTTGGCGAGGCCCGAAAGGATCGCCCAGCTTACCGTGCCCCTATGGTCGGCCCTGAATAATTATATTAAGCACATATTTAACTGAACCTCGATAAACAATTATTAAACACATATTTAACTGAACCTCATAAACAATTGCATACAAGTTAACTGAGCGCATTACCTTTAGTTTCAAATTATTAAGAACATATTTAAGTGAACCTCCATATATTTCCTCTATCAATAACTTCATAAGCGGCAACAACGATAACAACAAGAAGAAAAACAAGATAATTGTGATGCAAAATGGAAAAGTGGGTCCAACGAATAAGTTTATCATATATAAAAGTTTTTAGAAAAACAAACTTGTCAATTACCGATAAACTTACTAAAAAAGTTTAAAACGAGATAATTAAAAAAAAACACATGAAATCCTTTTTTAAAATAAAAAGAATGTGTATAAATAGAAAAATCCAAAAATATATAAATTTTTTACTAACGCTAAAAAGTATTAATACGACCCATTCGCCGACCTAAAGCCAAAAAAGTGGAAGAATTATAGTACTTATCTTTTGATAAATGTATTAAATATTGTCGTTTTATATATATTGTTAAGAACACGATTAGAACTATGTTTAGATTCTATGAAGACAAAACATTACAACTGGCAACGAATATACCCTGATAAAATAATGCCATATTATCGAGTTAATCAAAATTTGGTGTAAAAGTGTAAAGCATTCAAAAAATAAATTACAGAAAAGTCGGTATAATATTTGGTACATATAATGATATATCTCAAAGATACTGTTACGTCTTACACTCTATTAAATATCTCAAACATATTAATAATCCTATTAATTTGGTTGCTTAATTATTTTAATTATTATAAAAATCAATTAAGTAGCTAAATCAGAAAAGTTGGTATAATAATGATATATCTCAAAGATACTGTTACGTCTTAGACTCTATTAAAATTGAGACAAAGTACAAGAAAAACCAAACATATTTATAATCGTATTAATTTGGTTACTTAATTATTTTAATCATTATAAAAATCAATTAAGTAGCTAAATCTTTATAAAAGTTCGCCGAAGTCAAACGTGAGCACTACTAATTCATTGAGGAATTAAAGAAACACACACATACACATATAAAACTATAAGCTGCAGGCAACAACCGTAAGCTATATGTTAAGGTTTATTTTAATCAAGTTGTATAGAAATCGTCAAACCAATTCGATTTAAATGTCGAAATTAAGCTCTCTCCTCCAACCCCATTTCACATAGACTTCTACTTCTCTCCCAACACAATGTTGGGCAAGAAGATTGGTTCCTTCAAAAAATTAGCCAAAAAGGTCAAGGTTAAACGCACCCCGAATATAGAGCCATCACACCATGACTACTTGCTAAAGACATATGAAGAAGACGAAGGTTGCAATGAACCCAAACCTGGTTTTTTTGCGATTTATGTAGGTAATCATGAGCCACGAAGATTTGTTGTTCCTACTGAATACCTTTCGCATCCGTTGTTTAAAATGTTGTTAGAGAAATCTTATGATGATGAAGAATGGAATAACCGGTTGGTGGTTCCATGCAGTGTCACGGCTTTCCAAGAAGTGGTTAATGCCGTTGAATGTTCCAATGGGATGTTTGATCTTGGTCATCTGGTTGAAGAGCTCATTTAGATATATATGAGTAATAGATAAGTGACTACAACTTCCGGCTGTTCTTGTCAAACATATTTTTAGTTTAGTGTTAATTAGTAAGCAGCTCCCGAATGATTCACTCCCCTTGGTTTAGTTATATTTGTGAGTCATATATATATCGTCGTAAAGATGTAAGATCTGATTTATATATATGGGTGAGCTGCATTTGACTAAATCTTATTGATTTTTCTTTCTTAGTTTCGATTTGCAACTTAAGGTCCATATATAATGTATTTAGTATGGTGATCTTACTCAATATAACTGTTTTTATTACGGATGTATGTTTTTCTAAAAGGGTTTGTTGAAAACCATGTTTCAGTTTCGTAGTTTTTTAGATCATTAATTTTATTATTAAGGTCTCTCACATTTTTGTCATAGTGAATTTAGATGATCCCAGCAAACCATTTTTGAGATTAAATCATGTCAATTTCAATATTTTAAATTGATAGTCATCAAGCTAAGCTAGGTATAAGAAAGGTAGGTTATAGGACCTACTTACAATTTTTAATTTATCTAAAATTACTATAGTTATTTTTTAAGAATCTATTTTAAAAATTATAGATATTTTTTAAGAATCTATCTTAAAAAAAATGTTTTTTTTTTTTTTGAATTTTGTATATAAAAAAGTTAATGAATTATGTGATTTTTTATTCTATACTAGCACTATAGTCATATCTTTAAGAAATCAATAAAATCTATGAACTCAAAATTAAAGGTTTATAGTGAATGATTATATGCACAAACTATTATCGTACTAATGATTTAAATGTATTTTATTTTGGAGTAACATGCATTAAAATTTTCATCCATTTCAAATAATATATTTTTATTATTTTATATAATAAAATGAAGACATCTTTAGATATATTATCGATTTAAAAAATAAATGATATTGTTAACTAACAATAAGAAGTTGAAGAACTATATTATGCAAATTTACAAAGTACGTCACATATTTATCCCTTGTAGAAGTCGGCCTAATCCGGCAACATAACTCAAATTAGTGGTTGGATTTATGTTTTTAATAGTTTTTAATTAATTCGGCCAATCCGGTACTTAACTTCGTTAGTTAAAAATATATATTGTTGAATGTTTTTTTTTTACTACATTGACACATATTTATTCAATCTGTTAAATGTTATTTTGTGTTTATTTTATATTTTTTTTATGTTATTTTTATAGATTTTCTTATTTTATTAAATTTCATATAATATTTTAATATAATAGTTATGATAAATATACTAATAAATAGATATCAATTCCATTAATGAACTTACCTTTTAATTTCAAAATTATCAAATTAAAGATTATTAGTTTCATTTATTTATTTATTTAAATTTTAAAGATAAAAATAAATTCAATTTTGATAATTAATTATTTTTCTTATTTTCTTATAAATTCAAAGTTGTTAAATATTTAGACATTTATATTTAATTTTTTTTTTTAAATTAATCCATGTGATACATGGATCTTACAACTAGTTTATAATATAATTTGAGTTTGTATCCTCAAGTGTTGCACTGAGGATCCTTTGTTTATTTAGAAAATAATGTTAACATCTATGTAAATGGAGGAAATGGATTTAGAGTTGGCTTCTAAATGTTCATGCTTCTCTCCTAGTTAATGGTGCTCTTAGCAATGGAGTTTGAGATTTGTTGTGGTCTCCATTAAGGGGATCTTATGTCTACCTTCCTTTTTATCCTTGTTATGAAAAGTTCGCATGCTATTATTCGTAAGGCTTTATTAATTGGTCTACTCAGAGGTGCTTTCGTTATGAATAAATCTTTTAAGATATCTCATTTGATGTATGTTGATGATACAATATTTATGGGGGAATGGTCTCTTCCCAATGCAAGTAATTTTATTAGTAATTTGTGATGCTTCTATCTCTCCTCTGGTCTCAAATTTTATGTTCAAAAATCTGTTAGGAATCGGTGTTACTGAAGGTGATGTTAATGATATGGCTTCGGTTTTGGGGTGTGGGGCTTTGGCCATCCCCTTTACTTATCTTGGTGTCCTGTTGGATGTAATATGGTGTGTATAGCTAATTGGAAGCGTGTTATAGATAAGTTCAAGTCTAAGCTCTCCAATTGGAAGGCTCGTACTCTTTCTGTTATAAGTATATTGACGTTGATCAAATTCGTTCTCGGAAATCTTCTAACTTATTATGTCTTTATATAGTTACCGGTTGTTGTGAAAAAAAAAACTAGAGTCTTTTCGAAATAATTTTGTATAGGAGGTGATCTTAAAGATAGAAAAGATGACTTGTGTTGCTTGGAGAAAGTGTTTGGCAAGTAAATATCTTGGAGGTTTTGGGAATTAGAAGTTTTTATGCTTTGAACAAATCTCTTTTGTTTAAATGGATTTGGCGTTTCGGGTTAAGTTCTAGTGACCTGTAGGGTGAAGTCATTAAAAATATTCATGGGAAAGATGGTGGTATTGCTAAATTAAGCACTCATAGTTCAACTATCTCTCCGTGGTGTGTGTTTCTTAAAGCGGTTAAAGACCTTTCTGACAAAGGTGTTAACCTAATCTCGCTATATAAACGAAAAATTGGCAATAGGTCTTCTGTTCTTTTTTTAGATGACGTTTGGTGTGGTAATCTTCCTTTCAAAACCCAGTTTCCTTAGGTGTATGCTCTTGATTTGGAAAAAGACTTGTCGTGTTTCTAAGCAGCGTAACCTTTTTGATCGGTTCACAACTTTTAGAAGACCACCAAGAGGAGGTGAAGAAATGTCCCAATACATGTTGTTGAGATCATCTATTTCTCACGTTTCTCTAGTAGAGAAAAAGGATGAGTTGTTTTTCTTGTATTGATGGTTTTAGATGTTTCATTGTAGCTTCTGCTCGGAGGTTGATCGATTCTAAAATCTTGGAGACATTTACTCATTCGTCTAGATGGAGTCGTTGTGTGACTTGTGTCCCTTCAAGAGTTAATTGTAACATCCCAAGAATTTCGACAAATTTAAACCTTTCAAAATAACCCATTTAGTAATATAAGTATTTACAAAATCATTGTTTCCAAATATTTAAAATCAAAGTCGCCCAATATTCAATCATGCGTAAAATCAGAGATGTGTACAATCACGCCTTCACCTTGCCACGGTCCTCCAAAGTACCTAAAACCATAAACCAAAACTGTAAGCACGAAGCTTAGTGAGTTCCCCCAAAGTACCACCACATAAACATATAATATATACAAACAATCATACTCAAATGCTCATTCCTGGCCTAATCAGCCTCAGGCAGGAATACCAGGCATGTCTACGATGGTCCCATTCATCCTCGGGATGAAATACCCTCGTATCATAGCATGTTGGTCCAATAAACCATTGGGTTGGAACCAAACATGTTGGGTCTAATCAACCATCGGGTTGGAATACCCCAGGCCTATTAACTAGTGCACAAAGCAGTCCAGTCTTACCATATACCATACAATCATGTCGAGTCCAATCAACCATTCGGTTGGAATGCCAATATACAATGGATCCTGTCATCCTCGGGATGGAATACCCCCGGGCCCAATCAACCATCGGTTTGTAATGCCCCCGATCTATTGGCTCATGCACATAGCAATAAAACATCAACCACTAACCAACATATAATCAGGCAACAGACAACCGAGTAGATCTACGAATCACAAAGCATAACATCACCTTATATACCAGGATATCAGTCTAACATATCACTACAACATAATAACATACTATCACATAACATGATATCTAATCCAATGGGCCGACCTTAGTGCCTTCGACCCACAAGTATAGTGAGGAAAACTCACAACTCGTTCTGGTCCATAGCTAATGAGGTCTCGACTCTGAATCTCAGCTCCAACCGACACCTATCCATTCAAGTGACCAATCACAACCAAAAATCCCAAAATACCCTTAAGGTCTAACTTGGTCAAAGCTAACAGTCAATGTTGAGCCAACACACAGTGTTTCCCCTCGGCTACGCTATGTTCCGCCAACATCCAATCAGCCAGGAAAAACCGCATCTAACACGCTGTGTTAACTTGCAACCACGTCGTGGTTGCTTGAGTTTCAATAGCTTAACACATTCAACAGTTTTCTTCGACTCCAAGAGCTCCAAAGCTCTGAGCTAGACCAAAATGCGATCTGGAAGGATAAAGTTTCCAACTTTATCCATTGAGACTACCCAAAAAGTTCCAAAATCTTAACCATAAAGCTTAGTAATGCAAGCGCATAACCAATAAGCACTTAATCTTTAAAGTCCAAAGTTCATCCTTCCCAGAAGTGTTTCAAACACCTAAACCATCTGAAAGGTTGGTGTTGTATATATATATATATATATATATATATATATATATATATATATATATATATATATATATATATATATATATATACACTAGTCGTTATCCGCGCAAAGTGGCGACGACGAATAGTTTCCAAGCGATGATTAATTAATTTTGCTGAATAGTTTCCTTACGACTATCAAATCAAACCATACAAACCATTGACTAAAACATTTAATCATGTTTGGGTATTTGGTTAAAGTGGGTGACAAATGAATGGGTGGTTTAATGGGGATTTGAGTATTTGTTATCTAATTACTTGATTTGGTTTATTTTGTAAATCATGCAACATTTACATATAACTTTAATGTTTTTTTTAGTATATACATATGAAATTTACATCTTTTTGTAGTTTGTTACATGTTTAAAATCTCATTTAACATTTAACTAATATACACTTTAGAATGATATAAATCCAATCATTATACATAAATAAGTCATAACTACAACATAAGGTATACAAACACTAATACCTAATAATCAATAGAATCACATTTGTCTATACATACATAATTCATATCTATAAGAGAAAGTAATCAGTAAGAAACAAGAAGTGGGAGGGTACTTTGGGTTCAAATTTTTTCATAAAATTTTATATTATAATTGATGAAAATTTTGTATTACAGTTTTTTCATAACTTCAATAAAATTTTGAATAA